GCCATGTGGCTCTGTAAAGTGAGTAGTAAAGGCTAATTAATCTGAGAGCAACACTGTCATAATGTAGTTATTCTTTAACATTCAGAGCCAGCTCACCTTTGATGCAGGTATTTGTGCCATACTTTACTGTGTCACATGCCTGGATGAGTTGAAATTACTGGAATTAGGCACTCAGTTTTTGAGATGTCGTGAATTCAGGATTTTTTAAAACATTTGAGATAATATGCTCATAAAAAAAAATAGAAAGAGAAAATAGTAACAAAAGTTACATTTAGCTTATGGATCTCGTTCATACATGTTTTCTTAGGCCTTCTGAGATTTTAAGTGCCTCCAGGCAATAACCAAGGGAATTGGAACACATTTTTTTAATGGTTTCAATAGCTACAGCTTTGAGGAAAGTATCACTTTTGAAACTCGGTGTAAAATCACAAGTTAGCAAATATACACAGGTCATCTAGATCTAGCTCGGTCTTATTCCTCCTGCGTCTTCCTTTTCAGAGATGAGGGAAAATCTTTAAAAGTGCTAAAATAAAGGCAGACCTTGCTACTGAATTTAAGTACTTAGGAGAAGGTCAGGTACAATAATCAAGTACTTTAGAAAATACCTTTCACTTTATGTTGCATGAAACATGCTTTAATTTATTTATTAGCTGTCTTAGAATTCATATGGGCACCTCTCAACTTCATCACTGGTGAAGTGAAATTCTATACCATCTGTCCAGCTAGATCCAGCCAAATGGTCTTTGGTAAACTGGACAGCTTTATTCTTCAACAAGGATGGCATGTCCTTCAGATCTTAGGAAGATTTCTTCTGCTTCAATGCACTCTGCTAAAATGAAAGGCCAAACCTGAAAACAGTACCCCTAGTTTCTCCAATGTTGTATAACTGCATCAGCTGCCTTGGCACCAGTGCACAAACCTTGCACAAATTGATAGACATCCAGTATTAGTTTTACTTGGGCCTTCTTTTTCTATAAGAAAAGCTTCCTAAGAGTAACCTTGTTTGCGTTGACAGACTTCTGGTCCATTTTTTGATAGCTGGATTAGTAAATCAGCATGCCTGAAGAAATGAAATAGAAATGAATGAAATTAAATTATATGAAATATTCTTTAGGTCCCCTCTGCCTCTATATGGTACGAACTCAAGCGTACAGACTATCTAAGTATAGAGATGTTTATGGCAGGAAAGTTCTGAGCTTATTCCTTTGCTTCATTCCAGTTTTGTGTAATGAACCATCAAGATTTATTTACTGGCTACAGATACTGGCAGTGCAGGTACAAGTTAATTCAAGTAATTTTTTTGTCTTCTCCCTCCTATCCCCCAGAAAGAACTGCAGTCTAGGTATCAGAAACCTCAAGCACTCTCTCTTTTTTCCTCTTAGCAAAATAGTTCTTTCTTGTACTGTCCTCTGTGAGGCAGTAAGACAGTTTGCCAATTTTTCTAAGGTTTTTGTCTGAAAACTCAAGTTCTTTAAGAGCTATGCAACTTTCTGTTGCATAGCTTTCTGTGCACTAGTGAGCCTGAAGGCCCTGACCACTCTTTTCAGGGACCTACACCGCAGCCTGCCCAGGAAATCTATTTCTGCTGCACCTGGGTTCTGAGTCCCTGCTTGAATGACATCACAGATGTCCTGATGTTCATCTCCCCCAGAGCTGTGGACCACATTGATTCAATTTTCCTGCCTTGAGCTTGAACCTGCCTTATCACCATGATTCCACTGAGTGTTCACTGAACTCTTCCTGACTTGTGGTTACCTTCACCAGACCAGATCCAGATTTAAAAGGGTGAATTAGCTTCCTGACTCCACCTCAGGTTTGTGTGGTCACCATGAACTTGGCTGGTGATCTGGACTCTTGGTTGAAACCTATCATCTCAGGATCTGCCTTGCCCAGGATGGGGGCCTGGCTGGCAAGGAGCCTGTCCTGCTCGCTGTATTACCATGCTTGACTCCCTGTTCCTCAACTAGCAGCCGGACTTCAGTGGTCCCTGACACCGTGCTTGGCTTAAATATTTTCTGTTGTAGTTAAAGTTCATTTTCCTGACATAGGATATTTCTGCTAGCAGATTCGTCTGCCAGAGCAGTTTAGGAATCATCAGCATAGATATTGGTTTTGTACAGCAACATTGGTATGATTCTTGTTTTGCAGAGATGGAAGCCTGGGGCTATGTTCAGGAGCTCAGAACCTTTTCTTACTCCTCTGTGTTTGTTTAGGTCCTGATCTCAAATTTTTTTGAGCAGTATTTGCAAAATCATCTTAATGGGACATTGACAAAGGCTGTAGAATGCACTTTACGTCACCATTGCCTCAGTACCAGCCTTTCTGTCCCTTTTCAGAAATTCTCTCTAGGTATTGCTTCAGCAGGAAGCTTGACATATCCTGTTTTTAGGAAGTTCTTGTTGAGGTTTGTCTGTATCCAAAGATCCTGCTCCAGCTGTCTCCTTGTACAAGGACTACATGAATTAAAGTCAGTCATGAAGAAAAAAAATCAAATTTAAAAAAAAATCAAATTTAGAAGAATGATAGTAGTAAATTGCAGATGGTTCAGGAAGGAAGTTGGTTTGTATCATGTAACTTTCTCCATTACCTTTCTATCCTGCAGTTAGACTAAAATGCCATTGCTTAATTGATTTGTGGCTGGCTGAGATCACCTTCATGGGCTTTCAGCCATCCTTTGTATAGGATTCTAACAACAATTTCAGACCATTTTTATCATGGAGGGGTGCTTCTCTTGCTGTACGGTGTCACCTGGGTAAATGAGTTATATTGGTTTTCTGACCTAATAGTAAGTCATGATCCAGTAACATTTTCAGAGTAAGCATACTCACTCTGTGAATATGGCTGATTTTCCTCCAAACAGGTTGATGTCACTGAGGTTTGATTGAACATATATCACAGTTCTCATGGCTCTTTTCCATCTGTTCTCTTCATGACAACACACATGTTTTCTTCATGACAATCTTCAACAAGATTTATAAAACTGTTTTGAGATGTTCTTTATGTTACTGCATTGGCTGCTTAGCTCTTGGCTGTTTCACAGTTCTTAAAGGTTTATTTCTGGTGGTTGTCCAATCAGAACAATGTCAAAAAGGAAGTGCTTTTTCATTCTACTCTGCTAAAAAATGGACAGTGAGGTGCTTGTTCAAGATTGCTGGTCGGTGGTCTTCAAAATTAAATGCTGTGTTCAGTATTTTAAACCTAATGATCTGGAGGTATGTATGGCCTTTCAGTCACGCTTTGGATACTTGGGTGTGTGCCCACTACTTGAACATCAAGCACTGAATAAATGAGTTGTCATTTCTGAGAAACAATATAACAGAAATATGTTCTGAATGATCATTAAAAGTAAAAGTTTTTACTTTTTCTGGGCTTGGTAATGTATTCATAAAAACATTACTGTGTTATACCTTTGTCTTTTATGTCAACTTTCTTTCAGTCTAATAAGGACAATATCATTTGAGGCAATCAAATAAGTGGATTGATCCCTTGTTCCTCAATAGATGGGGCAGAAGCATCAAGGTTTTCAAATTATAGGAGATAGAACTAATGTTCTGTACATTTTCGTGATGTGTTTTGTGATTCTTACACTGCAGACTCAGGCAGTCTTTTCATGTCAGTTAAACTCAGATTATATTCTCTAGTTTTCAGGTAAGGAGTAAAATCCTCTGAATAGCAGATTGTGATTTTTTTGTGGGTTTAAGACTTAAAATTAGAAATCCAGTGATAGATTTGTTATTTACTCCTTATTCAGATAGGACAGACTCCAACACAGGCAGTTATGCATAACTCTTTTGACATTCTTAGAAATGCAAGGGACTAACATGAATACAAACTTTTTGTAACTTTGAGGAAATTCAGATGTGCATGCAAAACCTGCAGTCCAGTCTCTAAGGCTGCAAAACTGGAATAGCAAATTACAGAATTAGTATTCAGAGTTCAACTCTGCTGCTTAGATCTATGTCTAAAAGTGATTTGTAAATGCCTAAAAAAATATATAGAAACTTTGAGGGAAAAGAAAGGTACAAAGTACTTAAAACTCGCAAAGGTGAGAAAGATTCGACACACAAAAGTACATTTCAATCAATTTCTTTTTGTTATCCTCTTTCAAAGATTCCCTTTCAAACCACTCTGGCTCTCCCTCTGACACTTTCCAGATTAAGGGTTCTGCTGATGTTACACCTGCAATAGAACTGCATAGGAACATCGTATCAGTTCACCACAATTTCCATAGAAGTGCAAATTTGTTACATTTAAAGACATTATAAAATTAAAGTACTTAAACCCATGTGGTTTGGTAATACTGGATTGGAAACGTCTCACAGTCGTTTATAGTCTGACTGCACTGAAATCAGAGTTCCCTGGTTGATGTGACATGATTATATGTTATGAGTGCATGTGTTAACCTTTCAAAATAAAATGTTCGGTTTCTTCTTTTAAATACCAAATGCTTATAGTTATAATACTTGCTGATATTTTCTCACTGACAGACTCACTTGTTTTCAAACCCCACATATTTAAAGTTGCGGAGTGTTAGATTGATGTTTCTTTCACTCAAATGTCATATTCATCAACTGTATTGTGCTAGCAGATTGTTAAACAGACAAGGTGACTTGCAGAGTGACAAGTGATGTGATGTCCCAAACCATTAAAATACAGTAATGATGTGTTTTTTTCCCTTTCGGCTTTTGCAACACAGTTGGGTTTTCTGTAAAACACAGGTGAGAACATTTCTGAGTAGATCCATTGCGTGGAAAAAAATCCTAGTTTAATGAATGACAAAATCTGGAATTCAATTGGAACCTCACAGATAATTGAGAAGTGCTGAAGAGTGAAGAAAAAATAGTGTAACAGTATTTTATAGTGAGAAAAAGATACATTATGTTATAAGAAAAATTAAATTGCTTGATATATTATACTGTCTTACATAATCAGTTTTGCAGGATAATTTTTTTTTTTTTTTCAGTTATAATAAAAGCTGTTTTATAATTTTACTTGAATAGCCTCCCAGGAATACCACAGGAAAGGACGGAACTTCTGCTTAACCTTGTATCAGCTCAAATGTATTTCTCAACTTATCAAACTCTTTTTATTAATGGAGGAAAAAATTGAGGAACTCTCCACGGAAATTCTGCTGCTGCCTTCATTTACAGAGAGGAATAAGAATGTTCAAGGTAATGAAGGATTGTCCTGTTTTATTGGTTTACTTTGTGCAAAAGAATAATATACTATTTTCAACATTAATTACCTAATTTATGTCATCATATTTTTCAAATGAATGTGTTACCATATCCACTGAAAAAGCTTTTGAAATGTGCAGATTTACATTTGAGCAGAATGACTTACAGCAAAGAGCTGATTACTGTGTGTAGAGATGTGATGCACTAACTGTAGGCATTGATGGAGCACCATGATGAAAAACTATCAAACACTGTAACAAGATATCTCCTACTAGATTCTCTATGAAATCATAGAGAATATGGACACATAGGACACAACAACACTTGGATTCTGAATTCTTTGAAATTGACTTTTTCTGAAATTGTCCTTGAAAGCTGTCTTTTTCAAGAAATAAGAGCACTGACTTTAATATCAGCTTAGTTGATCTTAGTCTGCATGAAACTAACTGCCTAAGGATATAGTCCTTGTTTTAACCTGTATTTCTCATACTTTCTCATATGTACTATGCTTACTAGCATGCCTATCCCACTGGCCTCAGCGGCTGTGTTACAGAAAGAGGCTCTGCATCAGTAAAATGATGAAGCCTCAGGTTTGCATTTGGTATAGGTTTCAAGCTCACTCTTTTTTTTTATCTAATTGTATTCAGGAGAACCTGGTATCATGGAAATTCAAGTGAATAACTCCTTCCAGGAGTATGCTCATAAATGTTCTTCTACTCTGCTGCTTCTGCCAGTAGAGACTCCAAGTCATGAGAGAGAAGTGGTTTCAAGAGCTTTGATCCTATTGCAGGAAAAGATCAGACCAGAAATGAGGCCAGGCTGCTCAGGGGGAGAGGATTGATGAAGTTAAATGTTCACCATCTCTATAGTCAAGCTGCAGGCTGAGGAGAAAGGTGTTTTGGGAATGATGTAGTCTCAGAATAGTAAATTGATGAAAATAAAAATATTAAGTAAGAGTTCCAAGGCACACATTTTGTTGATGTATTCTTCACCTGTAATATTGACACTCCAAAATAAAGGAATACAAGTTAATCTATATATTTTTAGGATATACATCAAAGCTGTAATAAAATGTACATTCAAATTCCATTTTTGCTACTAACTTCAATGTATTTCTGCCTCCTTTAGTCACTCAGTTTTACTAATTCTCAAGAAATGTTAAACTATTATAAATTATGATTTATGTTTTATGGCCTTGAATCTACAAAGAGGTGTTAGAATAAACTTGTGGACTTTTCTGTGTGTGTTGGACAGGGTATACATTCAGTGAGGGCAATGGTAAATGTACTTTTTACTACTGTATTGTGTGACAAAGTGTAAAAAAAATTCAAAGAGTCCTGAATAGGGAAATTTATTTGATATTTATGTGACTATTATAAGGCATGTTGTCTCCAGTAATTTAGGGAACTTAAAGATTTCAACATTAGCAAGAAATATTTTGCTTTCCAGGAAATAAAAATTACCCTGATGGCTTTTTTCCAAGCTTAATTCCATCCAGAACTATTTCGCCAAAGAATGTTAAGCCGCCTTCTTAGAGAAATATTCTTTTAGAGTAATCGTGTCTATAGCAAGTCAGTTCTTAATTGGTACCTCTACTTAATCAAATCTGAATGGGAAATATTATTAGATCTTGTAGGAGGCAATCTTGTGGGTAGAAGGCACATTCTGAAAAAAGCCCTAGAATTCATTTTACCTTGGAAAACAAGTGAGGGTAAATATTTTTGTGGTGCTTTTAGCGAAGTCTTCAGACATACTTCTGTGTTCAGAGTTGCTGTTCTGATCAGGTGGCTCTATTCACAAAACTTTGCTCAGTGATATACTTACAGATAGTTTTTGAAAGGAAAACATGACCAGAGAAAATTTTAACAAGACATCTGACTAGAAGAAAGGCTTACTGGTGTTATTTTAATTTTGTATTGTTGGAAATCTCAGTTGTAGTGAAGTGAAAGATGATTTGATGTGGGAGAATGAAAGCTATGTTCCCAGTAGTTCCAGGTTGTGTTAAGTACCAAAAGGGATTTAAGACTTTCTCCGTTAATGTCCTATAGTGGGTTGATAATCTTATTTTTTTTCACTGATGATGGCTGAGTTTTTTTATAAGAAGGATTGGTTAGAATCTTTGTTTTATTTTCATCAGAACACATTATAGTATGTGACCAGGCAATATATAATGACCATCTTCTGTGCTTCTTTAGAACCCTTATTACTAGAAATCCTGTTTAATTTGACAGTCAGGAGCGTAGATATGTCCGAAGCAGCTTTAAATTGACTTGGTACGGAGGTCAGGTTAATAGTGCAGTACAGGCTGCAGAACCAGCCTAAGCAGAGAGGATTAGCCCAGGCTGAAGTGTGTGCTGATGGTGCTAGACAGTTACCCATACTTTCAGTAGGTTAAAGCTAGGTTGGGTACAGCCAGCATACCCCTCAGTCTCGGCAGTGAGGGAAATCTGAAGTGTCAGTGCTCTGTACGTAGTACTGCTGGCAAATTAGGAAGAGATGGTGGATTCATAAAAAGTAGATGAATGTCCAAGTCACCTAAAGTTTCCCTAGACATTGCATAGACAGAAGCCTTGTACTTGTTTTCATTATTTTTTGGTTGCTTCTAGTGTTCATGGGAGACTTCTAATCTATGTAACTCACACAGAGATGCAACAAAAATGTTTTTTTCATGTACTTGTGTCAAGTAGTGTTTTTTTGTGTACAGCTGTTTCAATGTCAATTTTGTTTTATATTCTGTAGTATTTCAATTTTGATATTTAGAACATGTATAAAGTTCCTTCAGAAACAAAGTAGTTCTTTGGATGGTTCCTCTTTTTAAATTTTTTTTTGTCCCAAAGGTGGCATCTGAGTTTTATCTAAACCAGACGGTTTCTTGGCCCTCATTTTTCCCTAAACCCAGCAATGACAAAGAGCAACGGCTGCATAAATTGGATGTAAGAAGAACACTTAGGGTTTATCACAGAAGAATCAAAGATTTCATATCTTCTGACAGATTGTTTGTACTCTTAGGGGGTCTTAAGAGGGGTCAAATGGCTTCTAAGAGTTGCTTAGCTAGATGGTTAAGGGATTGTATTAGAGAGGCGTATGTAGTTAAGGGTAAAGAGGCTCCCAGGGTTTGTAAAGCTCATTACACTAGGACTATAGCTGCTTCTTGGGCGGAGAGGTCGAAGGCTTCCACATTGGAAATTTGCAAGGTGGCCACCTGGGCTTCTCTTCATACTTTTTCATTGCATTATTGCTTGGATGTAGTCTCTTCTGCAGATTCTGCTTTTGGTAGGAGGTTGCTTGTGAACCAAAAAAAGAACAGTGAAGAAAAGAAAGACATGTAGTTCAGAGTTCTAGCTGGCAACAAGACAAGTTTCTTTGCAGCGTGCACAATGGAATCCTATGAAGACCAATTTAGGCCGTTGAAAATAGATGTTAGAGGGAAGTACTGCCTACCAGTGTTCTCTGATGGTAACCCCATGGCAGACAATAGCACCAAAGGAAACAGTGAACCAGAGTGAACTCTGTAGGGAGATGGATGTAGAGAGTTTTTTAGGTGATACAGATAGGTCTCTAAGTTCAGTTTGAGAGTTCTTTATCTGGCATCTTCTACCATTTTCACAAATTACTTTGCATAGATTGGAGAAAATATTTCTCTGAATTGCATTTTCCACTTGAACTTCTTTTCACTGTTCGCCTTCCAATTCTTCCCGATTTTTTTGACTTTACCAGCAGTAACGTAGTGTTCCTCAGTGAGCAATATGTGTATGCCAAGATTTGAGCTTGATTTAAAACTGTATTTGTGTTATCTAAGAACATTTTTTTAAAAAAATAGCTTAAATACACATTTTGTCTACTACCAATGTGTTCTTCAAGTTATGCTTTAAATCAAATTTAAGGAGAAAATCATGCAAAGTTCTTGGACAAACAAGTGATGGCGTGGTTTTCTTCCACCCTTGAACATTAGTGTGACATCTAGGTAAGACAGCTGCTCTGCCTTTCAGAGAAAAGGTATCTTATATTTTTCTATCATTTACTCATTTATTCATAATGGTACATGACCTCTCTTCATTCCACTAAAGGTATTGGATATCATAAAATTAGAGGAGTAACCATACCAAGTTTTTCTTGATTATTTAACCCTTTCATCTGCATGTCTTGTCATGCCTACAGGGATGAGATAGTCTACTTCTCTATTTACATTCAGTTGAAATTCATGAGATGTTCTGACATACCTAGTACTTCCAACACCACAGAGGTTGTTCTCTTTGAAGCAATCAGGAACATTTTTGTCTACAGTCAAGGGTTAAGGAGGACATTTGGGTTTAGAACTATGCCAGATTACATTCTGTTTCCATCTGTAATTAGATTTTTTCTTTCCTCTTGGGTTTTCAGAAGCCTCTTGTTAAGACTTCTGAAAAATAAAAAACATCTAATATGCTTTCATCTGTCTCATTGCAGTGGGAAAGATGAACTTTGTACAGATCAGATAATGAATACCAGGAAATGATTTTTCCAGTTGAGTGCTTGAAAACACTGTGGAGAGAGTTGTCAAATCCTTAGATTTACAAGCTCTGTCTCATGGGACTGGGAAGATTTGCAAAGGTCTTTTCTTCACACCTTAAAAAGAAATCCTTAACTCTATATCTGTTTCTGGAAAGTGTAATAAAAGGAGTGTAGAATGCAATTCTAGAGGTGCATTCTCCTAACAGACTTTTATTGCAAAGTTGCAATAATTGCAATTGAAGATTTTAAAAAAATTGTGATTTTTACTTTGGTCTCAACATAAGATGTTCAAGTATCCTGTCTTACAAATACACAGCTTCAGTGGATCAATCCAAAGTGATGATGAATTTACATTAGGAGGGGAATAATTTCAGAGGCACATTTTCTGCATCTGGGTTAGTACAGTTTGCTCAGTATAGTAACAAGTAACAAGTAAAAGATCCATTATTGAAGATAGAAAAGCTGAAGGCTTTTTTGGCCCACAGTTAGTCAGGGATTTTTTT